GCCTTCAGAACTTGGCTCCTGGCCAGCAGCCGCTGCTCTTCAACTGCCCAGCTCTGAAGGCAGTGCCACTAGTAACAGCAGCACAGAAGCAAGGGTAGCAGTACCGCAACCCCCTCTACAATAACCTTGAATCACCCCCCCCACCACACACACACACCCCTCTTTTTTGGGTCAGGACCCCTACAATTACAACACTGTGAAATTTCAGATTTAAATAGCTGAAATCATGAAATTTGCTATTTTTAAATCCTATGACTATGAAATTGACCAAAATGGACCATGAATTTGGTAGGGCTCTATCTATACATATGGTTTAATTTGACTTCATGTTTGATATATCTTTCAGTATGATGTTAGCAAGAATCACAGACCATTTTCTTTACAATGATGATGAATTTTTCCCTGGTTATTGTCCCTGTGGAAATTCAGAGAGCCAAATCATAGGCAAATACAAAAGATATAAGGTTATGGGGGAAGGACAACTCCCTAGGATAATTACATTACTATCTGAATAATTATTTTTACTATCCATTACAGTTTACACAACAGCATCTGAAATAGAAAGAGCAGTTTATTCACATCTCTGGTTTGCACAGAGGTTAATCACTCATTACATTTTATGACCTGATATCTCTGCATGAAAATTAATAAATGTATGTTTGGTTCTGGGACAGGTGTCAGTTCTCTACCTTTGAGCAATGTCAAGAGTGGCTTAAGCGACTGAACAATGCCATTCGCCCTCCTTCGAAGATAGAGGACCTTTTTTCATTTGCATACCATGCTTGGTGTATGGAGGTGTATGCCAGCGAAAAAGAACAGCATGGGGATTTGTGCCGGCCAGGTATGCAGAAATACTTTGGCCTTTAGCTGCCTGTCTGCTGCCCCTTTATCTTGTGATTCCTGGAATGCAGAATTCGTGAGCTTGCAAAAAAGTGTATTGACAAAGTGTGAATTCTGTGCTAATGTTACCCTTTACTTGAATACCCAGTTTTAAACAACTTCACATGAATTGTCTAACTGAAGTACTGTATTAACTTTGTGCTCTTATAAGGTGACCCTTCGCCAGTCCAACATTGGTATTATCATGTCAGAATTCCATGTGTGCAAACTCTTAACATTTGTTCTCACCAAGGCTTTAAAGATCTCGGGGGGCTGTGTATGAGTTAACCAAGCAGAGCTGGTGTATGGGAGTTGTGAAGGATCCTTTTGCCCCTCGAGATCCAGGTTTGAATCCTCACTCATGTCCCAATTAGAATTGAGTTTAATTTCATTCTGGTTCCCATTTGTACCCATTAAAAACTCACAAAATTTAACACAGTTAAATGTAAATGGCAATTTCTGTTCAGTTGGGGTCCAGGATATTACCAATCAAGTTTCATTTAAATTGGCACTGTCATGTGGAGAAAGCCTGCATAACTCTTTCTCCCATTTTCTTTCTTCAGCCAGCACTGTTAGCACTTTATTTTCATGAATGCTGCACTCACCTATAGATTAAAATAGAGAAATAGCTAAATAACAAAAGAAAAATAGAGACCTCTCTTTCTTCCAAGCTGAATATCCCAGAGTAGAAACAGTGGTTCTTCTTCTTCAAGTAGTGTCCCTATGCATTCTCCACTGTAGGTGTGCTTGTGTCCCTGCACTGCAGATCAGAGAACTTCCGTAGCAGTGTCCCTTAGGCCCATGCATGCACTGTCTCCCTTCCTGACTCGCCTCAATGCTAGTCAGTGCACTCATCCTCTTCCTCAGAGATCTCCCTATCCATTAACAAGGCCATTCTGGACCCGCCAAGGACTATCAAACAGACCACAGCGCTCGTGGTACCTATTTGCAAATGGGTGAACAAAAAATATTATGTCCCAGCGTGGGAGACTGAGTTCCTCATCTCCCATTCTCCACCCAACTCCATTGTGGTGGACGCTGTTAATTCCCATGGCTGTCAGTACCCGATGAGGTCCACTCCCTATGATAGAGACTGGAAGTGTTTGGACCTTTTCGGAAAGAAGGTATACTCCTCAGTCATGCTTCAGTTGCGAATCACCAACTACCAAGCCCTGATGGTGAAATATGATTATGTAAATTATTCTAAACTGATTTTACTGAGCTGCTGCCTGAGTCACATCGCAACCAATTTAAGGCCATTATTCAGGAGGGACAATTAATAGCAAAAACAACGTTACAATCTGCCCTCAATGCAACCAACACAAGGGCCACATCCATCTCCATGGCTGTGGTGATGCGACGTGTTTCATGGCTCCATCTCTTGGGCTTCCTGAAGGAGGTACAGTCAACCGTCAAAGACCTTCCCTTTGAAGACGCTAAACTCTTCGCAGAAAATATTGGTGCCTTTCTTCACACCCTGAAGGATTCTTGAGCCACTCTTCATTCGCTGGGCATCTATACACTATGACAAAAGAGGAAGTTTAGTCCACAGCCCTAGCACAAACCACACACCTCCCAATATCCATCTCAATGCTAGTACAAGCTGCAGAGGAAGAAAGAATACATTTTCAAGGTGTAAACCATCTGGCCCGCAACGTGTCTTGTCCCAGGTATCTACATCCAATCTCCAATTTTGACATGTTAGTCAAGGCATCGATAGACTCCCCACAACTGCTGCAGCCAGCCACGGCTATCCACCATTTGGCCACCGGTTGGCAGCATTCTGCAGCACCTGGGAATGCATAACATCGGAACAATGGATCCTAGAAATCATTCACAATGAGTACTCTATCCATTTTACTTCTTCGAGTGATTGCTTCTGTGTATTCCACAGTAGGTGTGCATGCTCACCACATGCACCGGTGCTGGAAGTTTTTCCCTTAGCAGTACCCGTAGTGGGGGAGCAGCGCTGCGACCCCTGGAGTGGCGCCTCTATATCACGCTATAAGGGGATCTGCGCACTCCCCCCACCCTCAGTTCCTTCTTGCCGACAGTGAAGGTGGTCGGAACTTGGTGCTCCAGCTCTGCTGTAGCACTTCTAGCCTTAGTAGTACAACTCTTCTTAGTAGTCTGAATCTCTAGTTAGTTGCCTGGCTCGGGGCATGCCCCGTGCCCCAGGCTTCAAGTCGTGCCACTCCTGTCACAGTTCTATGCCCAGAAGCAACCCACACTCTCAGTGCCTTCGCTGTCTGGGCGAGACTCACGTAAGTGAGTGTTGTAAAATTTGCAGATCATTCAAACCAAGAACAAAACGTGAAAGGGATATTAGTCTCCGGGCCCTAGTAATGGAGTCGGCAGTGGCCCCGCACTGGCACGCCAACCCAACTCGGTGCCGGGCATGTCGTTGGTGCGGAGCGACGCCCCATCAACCAGTCGGCACTGCTCCCCCACTAAGAAGCAAGGGAAGACTCAGCGGCGCCGAAAGAAGGACAGGGGTGAGGCCACAACCGAGTTGGGCAGCCCATGATCCCCCTGGGGACCCAGACCTCCGACTCGTGCTGAGCGGAGTAGTCTGGTCCTGTCCACGTGTGCCTCTCCTGCGGTGAGAATACCGTAGACGCCGGAGGCAGCACAGGCAGCGCGTGACATCCTTGCCCTTCTGGTGCCAGGCGCGCCGCCCGAGACAGGCCCTTGCTCCCGAGGGAAGCCGCCGCTGGGAGCTCATCAACCCTCCCTGGTCCGGCATAGCCCCCGTTCCGAGGCTGAGGTGCCTACCCGTTCTGCGAGGCCATCTCGTAGCCCATGTCAGACTTCCACTCCATTGGCCGATTTGCCTGAGAGGGAGTCTCGAGTGTCCTCCACTACGCAGAGGGGTTGCAGGCACCGAGACAAGAGGTGTAAACGCGCCTCTTCCTACCGGAGTTATAGGAGCAGGTCTCGCTGCCATCGGCACCGATGCTCAGATTCGAGTGTTTGCTCCGATAGGCGTAGTTCACGAAGCACCCCTCGGCCGTCACTGGCACTGAGGCGTCGTAGCCATGGTCGCCGGGGGGAATCTGGAAGCGGTACCTCTGACGGGCACAGGCCTTCTTCGTCGAGATCTAAATCTCGAGGCTGGCACTGACACGGCCGTGGACGCTCCCGTCACTCTTACAGTACCGTGCACTCTTCAGCGACTTCGGCTTCGGCACCCAGCCGCCCATCCCCAGGCCGCGCCCGTCCCACTCGATCAAGCGGCTCCGCTAGGTCCCCAAGTGGGTCACTGGCAAGGGGCACCCTGGCAAGGGCAGTGGTGTCAGTGGGCACCTTGGCCCCAACTACCAGCACCGACAAGACCCCGTTTGGTGGCCGGGGAATAGCAGGTACATTTGACGTCCCCGCCTCGGCACCGGGAAAAATCAATGGGCACCGAGACAGCGGCACCGCACCCGAGCTCGGACTTGGGGGTTGAACCGCCGGTACCGCTCGATGCCCTGGGGGCAGATCCGGTCCCATCACTGACACCGGAGGAATCCATTGCGGTGCCAACACCCGCCTTGCATAAAGATTTTAAGGCTCACCAGGAGCTCCTTAGGCGGGTCGCCTCGAATCTCCAGCTCCAGGCTGAGGAAATGGAGGAGCCGTCGGACACTTTGTTCAACGTCTTGTCCTCCTCGGCACCGGACCATGTGGCCCTAGCTCTCCACCAGGGGGTGACCAATATCTCGACTTCGCTTTGGCAAACCCCGGCGTCCTTGGCACCTATTTCTAAAAAGGCGGAGAGAAAGTACTTTGTGCCAGCAAAGGGGTATGAATATTTGTACTCTCAACTGGCACCCAACTCTCTGGTGGTGGAGTCTGTAAACCACCAAGAGAGGCATGGCCAACCCACCCCCACCCCCAAGGATAAAGGCGCCAGGAGATTGGATACTTTCGGCAGGAAGGTTTATTCATCGGCAAGCTTCCAGCTCAGGGTGGCAAATCACCACGCCCTCCTGAGCCGGTATGATTTTAACTTGTGGGGGTCTCTGCCAAAATTCAAAACTCTTCTTCAGGAAAAGGACAAGAAGGAGTTCAGAGCTTTGGTCGACGAAGGCGCTGCAGCGGCGAAAGTGGCCCTCCAAGCGGCTTTGGACACGGCAGATCCAGCAGCGCGTTCGATGGCCTTGGCTGTTGCCATGCGCAGGGCGTTGTGGCTCTCGCTGTCAGGACTGTCCGCGGAGTCCCAGTCCCTCATGCAGGACTTGCCTTTCGACGGGAAAGCCCTGTTTGAGGATCAGACCGAGACCCGTGTGTACGGGATGAAGGATTCCCACACCACCCTGCAAACTCTGGGCCTATATGTTCCACCAGCTAAGGACAAACCCAGGCCACAGACCTCGGTTCCTCCGGCTAGAGGCAGATATGAGCCCCCGCCTAAGAGGCCGAGGGAGCAGAGACTCAGGTCCTAGTGTCAGTCCTGCCCGGCCCAGCGACCTGGGCCCGCCCAGGGGAAGAGGCGCTTTTGACACTTTGAGGGGGGCCACCAGGCCTGTTGTCAGGGAAACCCCCAGTTAATAAAGTTTGTGTTCTGCAACCGTTTATCTGCCTTCCGAGTGCAATGGTCCCGTATAACGTCGGACCAGTGGGTCCTCAGCACCATTTCCAAGGGCTACATGTTGCAGTTCGCTTCGTCCCCCCTCCCCAACGCCCACCCCCGGGGACCCGGAGCACGTCCTCCTCCTAGACCAGGAAGTGACATGCCTCCTCATCCTAGGTGCGGTGGAGAAGGTACCTCGGGAATTTGGTTTTTACTCCTGGTATTTCCTGATCCCGAAGGCAAAAGGTGGGCTCAGGCCTATCCTCGACCTGCAGAACCTCAACCAGTTTATGGTCCATTACAAGTTCCGTATGCTTTCCCTGGTCACTATTATTCCATCCCTAGACCCGGGGGATTGGTTCGCAGCCCGGGACCTCCAGGTTGCGTATTTCCACATACATATT